TGGCGTGGCTTGTTGCTTGAAACAATCACTTCGTTTTTCTTATCAGATTGATACGATTTAGTAAACACTTCAGAAGTGTCGATGTTATAATGAACTTTTGATTGCTCAGAAATTGAAAAAACCCAATCATCTTTCCCATTGTTTATTATAAATACATTAGAACTTGAACTGACTGATAGAATTTGAAGAAACACTTGATTTTTGAAAAGAATTGGATATTTATCCTGGATTTTTGTTGGCTTTGTTGGTAGGTATAATTTATTATGGACCCGATCCAAGGAATTAATTGAAACATCATACACATCTAATTTCTTTGTAATCAATAATAATCGCTTCGATGTTGTTCCAATCACTAGTATCTCGAATTCTGTGCTATTATGATTCTTGAGACCTTCAAAAATTTGCTTTGTTGCCAAATGTGAAATGTTTTATAATTAGCATATCGAATGTAATAATATCTATTCAAAATAATACTTACATCTTTTTTAGTTGCCGTCGTTATTATTTCATTATTGGATCGGATTTCCGATGTAGTCATCAAAATAAAATATAAGATATGAATGAATTTCATAATTGGCAGTAATATAGTCGGTGGTAATATGATTTCTTTAGTAAATTTAAAGCAATAATAATAGAATAAATAAATTTCGTTATTGAAAACTTCAGTCGTATCGTTTATTATTAACGCTTTCGTATGATTTGTTGCCAATTCGAACAGTTCAATTTGTGCATTAATTCGAATTTCAACAAAATAATCTTTTGCTTGTTAATTGTTATGAAACAAGGTCGAATAATGGCATAGAATAAATTCCATTTTTCTAACATACGTGTTTTTGTGTAATACATTCTAATATAATTATTGTATTTTACCAATTTCGCGAACAACGAACAATATAGAAATTTTTACTGAATCATTTTAGAATTTTTTCATGCCTTTCTACAGTTAACAATGTTGTCGTTCTGCATTTTCCTAACAATCATATTAAACATTGTTCAACTATTAATCTAATCATGTTTCTAAGGCTTGATGTTTTTTTTTAATTCGGGTAAGGGAAAATAAGTTCATCATGGTGAAAATTATCATCAAAAATCTAAATAAGAATGATCATGAAATATGTTTAATTAAACTGGCTAGCTTGGATGTTGATCCACCACGACTGATGCTGTTTAAT